TAACAATGGTATATTCAAGGATAACAATGGAATATTCAAGGATAGGATAGTTTAAAGGATTTTTTCAATGTTCAGGGTGCCACCAGATTGCTCTGGGACTCTTAATCTGTGTCCCAGTCGTCTGAAGGGTGAGAGGCTGGGTCCAAGAGCTGAAGTACAGGTCAGTACAGAGAGAGAGAGAAAGAGAGAGAGTCATTCTCCTGGAGTGTACCTATCTGGGTTTAAACGCATGGGTAATTCTCGACCAATTAAAACCCATTTTGCTGCCTCCCGTCTGATATATGAGGTTTTTATTGGTAGGTGCATGACTCGTGCTCGAGTTCAAAAGAGAATAATAACTGAGTACTCACATGAGCCACAGAGACGTTAGAAGGAACTTTTTTAGTGTCAGAGTAGTTAACGGATGGAATGCATTAGGCAGTGATGTGGTGGAGGCTGACTCCATACACAGTTTTAAATGTAGATATGATAGAGCCCAGTAGGCTCAGGAATCTGTACACCAGTTGATTGACAGTTGAGAGGGGGGACCAAAGAGCCAAAGCTCAACCCCCGCAAGCACAAATAGGTGAGTACACACACAGGCCAGTGTCCCTAACTTGCATACCATGCAAGATGATGGAGAAGATTGTGCGAAGAAAGCTAGTGGAGCACCTAGAGCGAAAGAACTTTGTAACAGCATCAACATGGATTCAGGGATGGCAGGTCCTGCCTCACAGGGTTACTTGAATTCTACGACCAGGCAACAAAAATAAGGCAAGAAAGAGAAGGGTGGGCAGACTGCATATTTTTGGATTGTCAGAAAGCCTTTGATACAGTGCCACACAAGAGGCTAGTGAAAAAACTGGAGATGCAGGCTGGAGTGAAAGGGAAGGTACTCCGTTGGATACAAGAGTACCTAAGTAACAGGAGACAACGAGTCAGTGTGAGGGGTGAGGTCTCAGATTGGCGAGACGTTACGAGTGGAGTACCGCAGGGGTCGGTCCTTGGACCTATACTGTTTCTGATATATGTAAATGATCTCCCAGAGGGTATAGAATCGTTTCTCTCAATGTTTGCCGATGATGCAAAAATTATGAGGAGGATTGAAACTGAGGACGATAGTAAGAGGCTACAAGATGACCTAGACAGACTGAGTGAATGGTCCAACAAATGGCTGTTGAAGTTCAACCCGAGTAAATGCAAGGTAATGAAAATAGGCAGTGGAAATAGGAGGCCAGATACAGGATACAGAATAGGAGATGAAGTACTTAATGAAACGAACAGAAAGATCTAGGAGTTGATATCACACCTAACCTGTCTCCTGAAGCCCACATAAAAAAGAATAACGTCTGCGGCATATGCGAGGCTGGCTAACATCAGAACAGCGTTCAGGAACCTGTGTAAGGAATCATTCAGAATCTTGTACACCACATATGTAAGACCAATCCTGGAGTATGCGGCCCCAGCATGGAGCCCGTACCTTGCCAAGCACAAGACGAAGCTGGAAAAAGTCCAAAGGTATGCCACTAGACTAGTCCCATAACTAAGAGGCATGAGTTACGAGGAAAGGCTGCGGGAAATGCATCTTACGACACTGGAAGACAGAAGAGTAAGGGGAGACATGATCACAACCTACAAAATCCTCAGAGGAATCGACCGGGTAAACAAGGATAAACTATTCAACACTGGTGGAACGCGAACAAGGGGACACAGGTGGAAACTGAGTACCCACATGAGCCACAGAGACGTTAGAAGGAACTTTTTCAGTGTCAGAGTAGTTAACGGATGGAATGCATTAGGCAGTGATGTGGTGGAGGCTGACTCCATACACAGTTTTATCCTCTTCCCTCGTTTTTCTTATCATTTATACATTTAAAAATGTGCATCGAATTGGCTCTAACAACTCTCTCTGGACGGTAGAGCGACGGTCTCACTTCATGCAGGTCGAGGTTCAATCCCCGACTGTCTACAAGTGGTTGGGGCACCATTCCTTCCCCCCGTCCCATCCCAAATCCTTATCCTGACCCCTTCCCAGTGCTATATAGTCGTAATGGCTTGGCGCTTTCCCCCCTGATAATTACCGCCCTCTCTCGGAAACGTCATCCGTGCCAATCCGAACCACTGGCACTCGTTTAATGTCACCGAGCTACTTGCTGATTGGTCGAGGCTTGACCTCTTGACCAATCGTACCTCATCAAAATATCCCGACCCCATTGGTTTAGATAAGTCACGTGATGTGACGACGGAAGTGACGTCACACCTTTGACGAACCCTGGCAAAATATCTCAAGATCTTAAAGCAAAAACGTCGGCCTCTCACAGGTGTAGAATAACGTCCAGCAGATATAGCATGACTCTCACAGGTGTAGAATAACGTCCAGCAGATATAGCATGACTCTCACAGGTGTAGAATAACGTCAAGCAGATATAGCATGACACTCACAGGTGTAGAATAACGTCAAGCAGATATAGCATGACTCTCACAGGTGTAGAATAACATCAGATATAGCATGACTCTCACAGGTGTAGAATAACGTCCAGCAGATATAGCATGACTCTCACAGGTGTAGAATAACGTCCAGCAGATATAGCATGACTCTCACAGGTGTAGAATAACGTCCAGCAGATATAGCATGACACTCACAGGTGTAGAATAACATCAGATATAGCATGACACTCACAGGTGTAGAATAACGTCCAGCAGATATAGCATGACTCTCACAGGTGTAGAATAACGTCCAGCAGATATAGCATGACACTCACAGGTGTAGAATAACATCAGATATAGCATGACTCTCACAGGTGTAGAATAACGTCCAGCAGATATAGCATGACTCTCACAGGTGTAGAATAACATCAGATATAGCATGACTCTCACAGGTGTAGAATAACATCAGATATAGCATGACTCTCACAGGTGTAGAATAACGTCAAGCAGATATAGCATGACTCTCACAGGTGTAGAATAACGTCCAGCAGATATAGCATGACTCTCACAGGTGTAGAATAACATCAGATATAGCATGACACTCACAGGTGTAGAATAACATCAGATATAGCATGACACTCACAGGTGTAGAATAACGTCCAGCAGATATAGCATGACTCTCACAGGTGTAGAATAACGTCCAGCAGATATAGCATGACTCTCACAGGTGTAGAATAACATCAGATATAGCATGACACTCACAGGTGTAGAATAACGTCCAGCAGATATAGCATCTAGTTGTGCTTGCGGGGGTTGAGCTTTGGCTCTTTGGTCCCGCCTCTCAACTGTCAATCAACTGGTGTACAGGTTCCTGAGCCTACTGGGCTCTATCATATCTACACTTGAAACTGTGTATGGAGTCAGCCTCCACCACATCACTTCCTAATGCATTCCATTTGTTAACTACTCTGACACTAAAAAAGTTCTTTCTAATGTCTCTATGGCTCATTTGGGCACTCAATTTCCACCTGTGTCCCCTAGTGCGTGTGCCCCTTGTGTTAAATAAACTGTCTTTATCTACCCTATCAATTCCTTTGAGAATCTTGTATGTGGTGATCATGTCCCCCCCCCCTAACTCTTCTGTCTTCCAGCGACGTGAGGTTTAATTCCCGTAGTCTCTCCTCGTAGCTCATACCCCTCAGTTCGGGTACTAGTCTGGTGGCAAACCTCTGAACCTTCTCCAATTTAGTCTTATGCTTGACGAGATATGGACTCCATGCTGGAGCTGCATACTCCAGGATTGGTCTGACATACGTGGTATACAAGGTTCTGAATGATTCCTTACACAAGTTTCTAAAGGCCGTTCTTATGTTGGCCAACCTGGCATATGCCGCTGATGTTATCCTCTTGATATGGGCTTCAGGGGACAGGTCTGGCGTGATATCAACCCCCAGGTCTTTCTCTCTCTCTCTCTGATTCTTGAAGAATTTCATCTCCCAAATGATACCTTGTATCTGGCCTCCTGCTCCCTACACCTATCTTCATTACATTACATTTGCTTGGGTTAAACTCTAACAACCATTTGTTGGACCATTCCTTCAGTTTGTCCAGGTCTTCTTGAAGCCTCATGCTGTCCTCTGTGTTAATCCGTCTCATAATTTTGTCATCATCAGCAAACATTGAGAGTAATGTGTCTATACCCTCTAGGAGATCATTTACGTATGTGAGAAACAGGTTAGGACCGAGTACAGTACCCTGTGAGACTCCACTTGTGACTTCACGCCAATCTGAGGTCTCACCCCCTCATAGTAACTCTCTGCTTCCTATTGCTTAGGTACTCCCTTATCCACTGGAGCACCTTACCAGTTACTCCTGCCTGTTTCTCCAGCTTATGCACCAGCCTCTTTATGGGGACTGTGTCAAAGGCTTTCCGACAGTCCAAGAAAATGAGTCAGCCTCCACCACATCACTGCCTAATGCATTCCATTTGTTAACTACTCTGATTAACTACACACACACAACACACACACACACACACACACACACACACACACACACACACACACACATACACAGTGGTAGACGGTTGGAACAAGTTAGGTGAGAAGGTGGTGGAGGCCAAGACCGTCAGTAGTTTCAAAGCGTTATATGACAAAGAGTGCTGGGAAGACGGGACACCACGAGCGTAGCTCTCATCCTGTAACTACACTTAGGTAACTACACTTAGGTAATTACACTTAGGTAATTACATAGATAAGACTGGGGGTAAAGATTGGAACAAGAGAGACGTGAAGAAGGCTGAGGTTGGAGTGAGAGGGAAGGTCCCTCTCCAAAGACAATCTAACAAAGAAAGAGTTTGTCTCTTTGTTCCAAAGATAAACTAACCTAACCTAACCTAACCTAATCTAACCTAACCTAACCTAACCTTCCTTGCCCCCCCCCCCCACCCCACAGGGCCTAGGTTAGTTAGTCTTTGCAACAAAAAGTAGATCATAGTTTTCCCGGTCTGTCCAAATTCAATAGTACCGATTTCTACTATCTAATTGCGTTGTATGTCGGTATATGTACTATGACCCTCATCTTTCCTTTAAGTACTAGCAAACCAGGAGGCTGGGCTGTATTATGATAATGTGCCATCCTGAGTGCTGTGTGAAGGTCTGAGTGCTGTGTGAGGGTCTGAGTGCTTTGTGAAGGTCTGAGTGCTTTGTGAAGGTCTGAGTGTTTTGTGAAGGTCTGAGTGTTTTGTGAAGGTCTGAGTGCTGTGTGAAGGTCTGAGTGCTGTGTGAAGGTCTGAGTGCTTTGTGAAGGTCTGAGTGTTTTGTGAAGGTCTGAGTGTTTTGTGAAGGTCTGAGTGCTGTGTGAAGGTCTGAGTGCTGTGTGAGGGTCTGAGTGCTTTGTGAAGGTCTGAGTGCTTTGTGAAGGTCTGAGTGCTTTGTGAGGGTCTGAGTGCTGTGTGAAGGTCTGAGTGCTTTGTGAAGGTCTGAGTGCTGTGTGAAGGTCTGAGTGCTTTGTGAAGGTCTGAGTGTTTTGTGAAGGTCTGAGTGCTGTGTGAAGGTCTGAGTGCTGTGTGACGGTCTGAGTGCTGTGTGAAGGTCTGAGTGCTGTGTGAAGGTCTGAGTGCTGTGTGAAGGTCTGAGTGCTGTGTGAAGGTCTGAGTGCTGTGTGAAGGTCTGAGTGCTGTGTGAAGGTCTGAGTGCTGTGTGACGGTCTGAGTGCTGTGTGAAGGTCTGAGTGCTGTGTGAAGGTCTGAGTGCTTTGTGAAGGTCTGAGTGCTGTGTGAAGGTCTGAGTGCTTTGTGAAGGTCTGAGTGCTGTGTGAAGGTCTGAGTGCTGTGTGAAGGTCTGAGTGCTGTGTGAAGGTCTGAGTGCTTTGTGAAGGTCTGAGTGCTGTGTGAAGGTCTGAGTGCTGTGTGAAGGTCTGAGTGCTGTGTGAAGGTCTGAGTGCTTTGTGAAGGTCTGAGTGCTTTGTGAAGGTCTGAGTGCTTTGCGAAAGTCTGAGTGCTTTGTGAGGGTCTGAGTGCTGTGTGAAGGTCGGAGTGCTTTGTGAAGGTCTGAGTGCTGTGTGAAGGTCTGAGTGCTTTGTGAAGGTCTGAGTGCTTTGTGAAGGTCTGAGTGCTGTGTGAAGGTCTGAGTGCTGTGTGAAGGTCTGAGTGCTTTGTGAAGGTCTGAGTGCTGTGTGAAGGTCTGAGTGCTGTGTGAAGGTCTGAGTGCTGTGTGAAGGTCTGAGTGCTGTGTGACGGTCTGAGTGCTGTGTGAAGGTCTGAGTGCTGTGTGAAGGTCTGAGTGCTGTGTGAAGGTCTGAGTGCTGTGTGAAGGTCTGAGTGCTGTGTGAAGGTCTGAGTGCTGTGTGAAGGTCTGAGTGCTTTGTGAAGGTCTGAGTGCTGTGTGAAGGTCTGAGTGCTGTGTGAAGGTCTGAGTGCTGTGTGACGGTCTGAGTGCTGTGTGAAGGTCTGAGTGCTGTGTGAAGGTCTGAGTGCTTTGTGAAGGTCTGAGTGCTGTGTGAAGGTCTGAGTGCTGTGTGAAGGTCTGAGTGCTGTGTGAAGGTCTGAGTGCTGTGTGACGGTCTGAGTGCTGTGTGAAGGTCTGAGTGCTGTGTGAAGGTCTGAGTGATGTGTGAAGGTCTGAGTGCTGTGTGAAGGTCTGAGTGCTTTGTGAAGGTCTGAGTGCTGTGTGAAGGTCTGAGTGCTGTGTGAAGGTCTGAGTGCTTTGTGAAGGTCTGAGTGCTGTGTGAAGGTCTGAGTGCTGTGTGAAGGTCTGAGTGCTTTGTGAAGGTCTGAGTGCTTTGCGAAAGTCTGAGTGCTTTGTGAGGGTCTGAGTGCTGTGTGAAGGTCTGAGTGCTGTGTGAAGGTCTGAGTACTTTGTGAAGGTCTGAGTGCTTTGCGAAAGTCTGAGTGCTTTGTGAGGGTCTGAGTGCTGTGTGAAGGTCTGAGTGCTGTGTGAAGGTCTGAGTGCTTTGTGAAGGTCTGAGTGCTTTGCGAAAGTCTGAGTGCTTTGTGAGGGTCTGAGTGCTGTGTGAAGGTCTGAGTGCTGTGTGAAGGTCTGAGTGCTTTGTGAAGGTCTGAGTGCTTTGCGAAAGTCTGAGTGCTTTGTGAGGGTCTGAGTGCTGTGTGAAGGTCTGAGTGCTGTGTGACGGTCTGAGTACTTTGTGAAGGTCTGAGTGCTGTGTGAAGGTCTGAGTGCTGTGTGAAGGTCTGAGTGCTTTGTGAAGGTCTGAGTGCTTTGTGAAGGTCTGAGTGCTTTGCGAAAGTCTGAGTGCTTTGTGAGGGTCTGAGTGCTGTGTGAAGGTCTGAGTACTTTGTGAAGGTCTGAGTGCTGTGTGAAGGTCTGAGTGCTGTGTGAAGGTCTGAGTGCTTTGTGAAGGTCTGAGTGCTGTGTGAAGGTCTGAGTGCTGTGTGAAGGTCTGAGTGCTTTGTGAAGGTCTGAGTGCTGTGTGAAGGTCTGAGTGCTGTGTGAAGGTCTGAGTGCTTTATGAAGGTCTGAGTAAGTGGTTAGGGCGAGAATTGCATCCCAACGACTAAGATTGGTCGTCGAGTGGTTGAGATGTAAGTCTGATCTTAACCACACACACTCAGATCTTGACAGAGCACTCAGGAGAGTGCGAAAGACTTGGTGTAGTTCGTGACGCAAATTACACAAATACACAAGTGTGACTTTATCCTATGGTGATTATGTCCGTTGTTATTGTTAAAAGATTCGCTACCTGGAACAAAAAGTTCCAAGTAGCACGGGCTATGGTGAGCCCGCAGAGTTGAGTATGTCCGTGAGAAGACACTAGCGTTACTTAACAGTTATCACTAACACTAGCAGCTATTGCTACAATATATAAAACACAAAAAAGTCATATCAAGCAACACTGAAAGGCAACACAAGACTACTCTAGACGCTTCTTAAGAATAACGAGCAATTATATTCAAATATAATTACGACAATTTACAGATAATTACTTCATGAATCAACGTCACGTTTAAAAAAAAATATATGACAGATATTAAAGATTAAACAAAAGAGAAGAGCGTGTAGGGAAGACATATTGCCTCACCACTATATCATCCTCAGAGTGAGAGGTAGACATAGCGCCTCACCAGGTGAGAGGAAGACATATCTCCGCGGAGAGGAAAGGATTAAGAGTTACACAGCATACCAGCATCCCACAGATATACACAGCCAGAGGTATAACCATCTCCTCGGTGTATACAACACTGAGAATTGACTCCCATTATCATATATAAGGACAGTCTTGAGGAGTGTGAGCAGGGAGTCATCTAAGACACCTATGTTGTGTCCACACCCCCACAGGTGCACGGACAACCCTGAAAAGTTTAAGAGACTTGCCCCCAACGCAGGCCCCAGAGATAGAGAGAGTTTGAGCGGGGAAAAACAGACTAAATCTTACTAGGCTGCAGCCGGGAAAATACCCTAGGGACGCTGGCGGACAGCAGGAAGCAGGAAGCAGGAGGACAGCAGGAAACAGGAGGAAGACAGCAGGAGGACAGCAGGAAGCAGGACAACACACGACATTGAGAAACTCGGCAAAGTGAGATAGCGAAGCTCTTGACCCTCACTCACTCACCAGCAAACAATTGCAGGTTCGAATACCCCGAATGAGTCAAAATAACCTAAGACTTAGCTGCCTCATTATACAGCTCCTCCTCCTCCTAATAAGGTTTCCTAACGTCAGAATAACATTCATTATACAGTGACCTTATCCTAACCTGCCAGAGGACCCTACACAGAAAACGGGATAGTTACGTCACTTTCGCCAGACGCTTCCATTGTCTAGTACGACAATTTTTGCCATTATGTAACGCAAACGAACGAAAAGCGACGTTCTTTGTAGGAGGACAGGTTGTAGGAGGACAGGTTGCAGGAGGACAGGTTGCAGGAGGACAGGTTGTAGGAGGTCAGGTTGTAGGAGGACAGGTTGTAGGAGGACAGGTTGCAGGAGGACAGGTTGCAGGAGGACAGGTTGTAGGAGGTCAGGTTGTAGGAGGACAGGTTGTAGGAGGACAGGTTGTAGGATAGGTTGCAGGAGGACAGGTTGCAGGAGGACAGGTTGTAGGAGGATAGGTTGCAGGAGGACAGGTTGTAGAAGGACAGGTTGTAGGAGGACAGGTTGTAGGAGGACAGGTTGTAGGAGGACAGGTTGCAGGAGGACAGGTTGCAGGAGGACAGGTTGTAGGAGGATAGGTTGCAGGAGGACAGGTTGTAGAAGGACAGGTTGTAGGAGGACAGGTTGTAGGATAGGTTGCAGGAGGACAGGTTGTAGGAGGACAGGTTGTATGAGGTCAGGTTGCAGGAGGATAGGTTGTAGGACAGGTTGTAGGAGGTCAGGTTGTAGGAGGACAGGTTATAGGACAGGTTGTAGGATAGGTTGTAGGAGGATAGGTTGTATGAGGTCAGGTTGTAGGAGGACAGGTTATAGGAGGACAGGTTGCAGGAGGACAGGTTGTAGGAGGCCAGGTTGTAGGAGGACAGGTTGTATGAGGTCAGGTTGTATGAGGTCAGGTTGCAGGAGGATAGGTTGTAGGAGGACAGGTTGTAGGAGGACAGGTTGTAGGAGGCTGTAGGACAGGTTGTAGGAGGCCAGGTTGTAGGACAAGTTGCAGGAGGACAGGCTGTAGGAGGACAGGTTGTAGGAGGTCAGGTTGTAGGAGGACAGGTTATAGGAGGACAGGTTGTATGAGGTCAGGTTGTAGGAGGCCAGGTTGTAGGAGGACAGGTTGTAGGAGGCCAGGTTGCAGGCCAGGTTGTAGGAGGCCAGGTTGTAGGAGGACAGGTTGCAGGAGGACAGGTTGTAGGAGGACAGGTTGTAGGAGGACAGGTTGTAGGACAGGTTGTAGGAGGACAGGTTGTAGGAGGCCAGGTTGTAGGAGGACAGGTTGTAGGAGGGCAGGTTGTAGGAGGCCAGGTTGAAGGAGGCCAGGCTGTAGGAGGACAGGTTGCAGGAGGCCAGGCGGCAGGAGGCCAGGCTGCAGGAGGCCAGGTTGTAGGAGGACAGGTTGTAGGAGGACAGGTTGAAGGAGGCCAGATTTTTGGAGGACAGGTTGTAGGAGGACAGGTTGTAGGAGGACAGGTTGAAGGAGGCCAGATTCTTGGAGGACAGGTTGTAGGAGGACAGGTTGTAGGAGGACAGGTTGTAGGAGGACAGGTTGTAGGAGGACAGGTTGTAGGAGGCCAGGTTGAAGGAGGCCAGGTTGTAGGAGGCCAGGTTGAAGGAGGCCAGATTCTTGGAGGACAGGTTGTAGGAGGACAGGTTGTAGGAGGACAGGTTGTGGGAGGACAGGTTGCAGGAGGACAGGTTGCAAGAGGACAGGTTGTAGGAGGACAAGTTGTAGGAAGCCAGGTTGTACGACAGGTTGTAAGAGGCCAGGTTGCAGGAGGACAGGTTGCAGGAGGACAGGTTGCAGGAGGACAGGTTGCAGGAGGACAGGTTGCAGGAGGATAGGTTGTAGGAGGCCAGGTTGTAGGAGGACAGGTTGCAGGAGGACAGGTTGCAGGAGGATAGGTTGTAGGAGGCCAGGTTGTAGGACAGGTTGCAGGAGGCCAGGTTGCAGGAGGACAGGTTGCAGGAGGCCAGGTTGCAGGAGGATAGGTTGTAGGAGGCCAGATTCTTGGAGGACAGGTTGTAGGACAGGTTGTAGGAGGCCAGGTTGCAGGAGGCCAGGTTGCAGGAGGCCAGGTTGTAGGAGGACAGGTTGTAGGAGGACAGGTTGTAGGAGGACAAGTTGTAGGAAGCCAGGTTGTACGACAGGTTGTAAGAGGCCAGGTTGTATGAGGCCAGGTTGAAGGAGGCCAGGTTGTAGGAGGCCAGGTTGTAGGAGGCCAGGTTGTAGGAGGCCAGGTTGTAGGAGGACAGGTTGTAGGAGGCCAGGTTGTAGGAGGCCAGGTTGTAGGAGGCCAGGTTGTAGGAGGACAGGTTGCAGGAGGACAGCTTGTAGGAGGACAGGTTGTAGGAGGACAGGTTGTAGGAGGACAGGTTGTAGGAGGACAGGTTGAAGGAGGCCAGATTCTTGGAGGACAGGTTGTAGGAGGACAGGTTGTAGGAGGACAGGTTGAAGGAGGCCAGATTCTTCTAGGACAGGTTGTAGGAGGACAGGTTGTAGGAGGCCAGATTCTTCTAGGACAGGTTGTAAGAGGCCAGGTTGTATGAGGCCAGGTTGTCGGAGGACAGGTTGCAGGAGGACAGGTTGCAGGAGGACAGGTTGCAGGAGGATAGGTTGTAGGAGGCCAGGTTGTAGGAGGACAGGTTGCAGGAGGCCAGGTTGCAGGAGGCCAGGTTGCAGGAGGACAGGTTGTAGGAGGACAGGTTGTAGGACAGGTTGTAGGAGGACAGGTTGTAGGAGGCCAGGTTGTAGGAGGACAGGCTGCAGGAGGCCAGGTTGCAGGAGGCCAGGCTGTAGGAGGCCAGGTTGCAGGAGGATAGGTTGCAGGAGACCAGGTTGCAGGAGGCCAGGTTGCAGGAGGACAGGTTGCAGGAGGCCAGGTTGCAGGAGGCCAGGTTGTAGGAGGCAAGGTTGGATTATAAGGATAACGAAGAAAAGAACTTAAAATAAGTACACTGTATACAATAAAATAAAATACACATACGACCCTCTTTAAGTCACCCAAGTGCCAACACTGACAGCTACAAGACACACCAGGAGGTGCCCATGAACTAGAGTCCAACCCCCGATATACAAGCTACCACATCCAGAGCCACCAGCCTCACGAGTCAATAATAACGAAATCTAAACCTTTTTGGCTATCTTTGAAGACGTCAATAAGACCTCCAGATCCAAACCCCAAACTACGCAGTGTATAACTAAAAGGTCATCCTGTGATGCTAATAATTATACTATAATTGTTACGTCAACTTCCAATTATAAATGTACAACCATTTAAAGTTTACAGTGGTGGATTAGTCCCAGTACAGCTGAAGATTAGTACCAGTACAGCTGTAGATTAGTACCAGTACAGCTGTAGATTAGTACCAGTACAGCTGTAGATTAGTACCAGTACAGCTGTAGATTAGTACCACTACAGCTGTAGATTAGTCCCAGTACAGCTGTAGATTAGTACCAATACAGCTGTAGATTAGTACCAGTACAGCTGTAGATTAGTACCAGTACAGCTGTAGATTAGTACCAGTACAGCTGTAGATTAGTACCAATACAGCTGTAGATTAGTACCAGTACAGCTGTAGATTAGTACCAGTACAGCTGTAGATTAGTCCCACTACAGCTGTAGATTAGTACCAGTACAGCTGTAGATTAGTACCAGTACAGCTGTAGATTAGTACCAGTACAGCTGTAGATTAGTACCAGTACAGCTGTAGATTAGTACCAGTACAGCTGTAGATTAGTACCAGTACAGCTGTAGATTAGTACCAGTACAGCTGTAGATTAGTACCAGTACAGCTGTAGATTAGTACCAGTACAGCTGTAGATTAGTACCAGTACAGCTGTAGATTAGTACCAGTACAGCTGTAGATTAGTATCAGTACCACTCTAGATTAGTACCAGTACAGCTGTAGATTAGTCCCACTACAGCTGTAGATTAGTACCAGTAATACCAGTACCAGTTACTACACCTTCAACTTACCTTGCCCCAGTCAGCAGCTGCCTCACCACCACGGGGGATTAAGACGAAGTGGTGCAATTTTACCTTCTATTAACCCGGCCCGGATTTACCCGGGATTTATAATACGGATTCCTCGACATTAGTGATTTCTTTCGCTTCCGCCTCGCCCTGAGTAAATCTTTCTTGTCTGGTAATTTGTGTGGGTGTTCACCTAGTTGTGCTTGCGGGGGCTGAGCTCTGCTCTTTCGGCCGTTTTCCACACACACACACACACACACACACACACACACACACACACACACACACACACACACACACACACACACAAACACACACACACACACACACACACACATACACACACACACACACACACACATATACACACACACACACACACACACCTAGGAAGCAGACCGTAGTAGCTGACTATCTCCCAGGTACCTATTTACTGCTAGGTGAACAGGTGAATCAGGGTGAAAGGAACACTGCCCATTTGGTGGTGTTATAGAGGGAGGCCACACAGGAGGCCTCCTGAGCCTCTACTGTCCTCTACAGCAACAGCAGAGACAGAGCTAAACATTCCTGAACTACACGTAACCGAGTGCCCTATGCCCCTGT